CTTGCCGCCTCTTTCCACCTACGGAGAAGCCTCTTCGATTCAAGGTCGCGGACTGGTAGACTCGTGGAATCGATTCTCGCTTCTCGTTTTCTTGCTTTTCATGCGTTTTTTGCATCACCACAACAGGGGGAAGGGATGATCTTTCTTGGAATTGTAATATCAGGAGGGTGGAGGGAATGGAAAGCTCGTCGATCTTAAAAAATCCTTACTTTACTTTCTTTAAAGTGTTGTTATATTCGAAGATTATTACGTTAATTTTCCACCTTTATCGTACCGTATTACCGTATTAACCTTGTGATTTTGATATACTTGTGATATACATATACATGGAATAAGACAATAATATATAAGAATTTTCATAAATGCGTATATACGACACTATAACCGGTTGAGGGATTAACACGGTTGGAAATTGGATATTGAAAAATACATAAAATATTTTTTTAGTCAATTCCAAACCATGTGTTATTATGCGTGTAATAAGTACTCTTTGATGAAATAAAAATTATTCCTTCAATTGGTAAGAAACGAAACTCGAAATACAGTTCTTATATTTCTTTGTTTAAACGGTTTGCCTTAAATAGTCGCGTCCAAAGTTACGACTGAATTCATTACAGAGCGAGAAATACAACGAACGAATTATGAAAATTCTTATATATTATTTTATTTAACCTCTGATATAATTATAATTTAAGTACAATAAATACAATAATAATGTAAAATATATAATTTTAAAATTTCTCATTAATTCGAATTTCGTTATACCATTTATTCTGTTCAAAATAAGAAATAATTTATAGATAAAGTTGGAATAATATCGATTTAAATAATCGATATCTCGACATTCATCCATGATATAACGATAAAATTAAAATTTCACTGATTTGCAAGGAAATATTTTCGTAAATCATTGATATTCCAATAAAAAATATAACCATCACGGTGGTCTAAAATTTTTATCTGACGCGATAAAGATCCATCGTTCGACATCGAACAGCCCGTTCCTTTGGCTTGTAAATCGACCATACGAGCAAAGTTCCGTGTCGACTGGCACGTTGAACATACCCGAACGACACCGTGTCGTAGGCGTATGAAAAATGATCCCGTGGAATACAAACTCGTCCGCCGCTCGTGCGCTATCGATCGCTATTTCCCCGCTCGTGAGCTTACGTCAGGTGCCTCTTCAATCCACCATTTTTCTCTTCGTTTTCCTCTTCAACGAATGCAGTCTCATTTCCTTATTACATTGTACCGTATACGCGCAGTTGTAGTATTTAACATCGTCCGCCTAATCATCGTCCATCGAAACCACAACGGCCTTCGAGACTGGTGTAGAATCGCGATATATTTGCGACACTTGAAAGGACACGCTGTTGCATCCGTATTCCATTCCTTATTTACGCGGCAAAGTAAAAACTTATTGTTAGACCCTGACGAGAGTTGGAAAAAAAATAAAATTATAAGCAGGCTCCTCGATGTTTATTATCATTCCGTTTCCAGAGAATTGTTGAAGTTGCTGTACACGTGGGTTTTAAGCGAGGATTAAGATAAAGGATGGGATCAAGGATGTTTACTGAAATGGAAAAATAACTTGAAATTGAGTTAATTAGTAAAATGAGATAATAGCGATTCAGAATACACGTACAATTTTTTTTTTTTATTTTAATTTTGAGATTGGAATTATCATGAAATTCTCAGAATAACATTGTTTTCTGTGATCGATTACCTTCGACAACTTCTTTGGTTAATAATAGCTTTCTTGATTGGAAAACTATTTAAACGAACTCATCAAATATTTTTCAAATTATTAATGTTAGTCAATTAAGCAACATTTTAAAATGTTGCACGTGCAAATTTTTTTCTATTTTAATCTTGAGATTGGCATTATCACGAAATTTTCGAAATAACATTGCTTTCAAATATGCGATCGATTACCTTCGACAACTTCTTTGTTTAATAATTGGAAAACTATTCCACCCAAACTCATCAAATTTTTCAAACAATCGTCAATTAAGCAACATTTTAAAATACACATATAAATTTTTTTATTTTAATTTTGAAATTGTGATTATCTCTGAAATTTTCAGAACAAGATTGTTTTTAAATATGCGATTGATTATCTTCGACAACTTTTGGTTAATAATAGTTTTCTTGATTGGAAAATTATTTACTCAAATTCATCAAATATTTTTCAAACAATCGTCAATGTTAGTCAATTAAGCAACATTTTAAAATACACGTACAAATTTAATCTTGAGATTGGAATTACCACGAAATTTTCAAAATAACATCGCTTTCAAATATGCGATCTATTATCTTCGACAACTTCTATTAATAATAAGCAAAGAATAATAATTTCTTGATTGGAAAACTATTTACCCAAACTCATCAAATATTTTTCAAACGATCAATGTTAGTCAATTAAGCAACATTCATTCGCGAGACAAACTATTCGTACTACCTACACAGATCTTCACTGGGTGGCTTTAACGATTTTCCGCGGCTATCTCAAGTCGCCGAGTTTCATCGCATTTAATACGCCCACGCCTCGCTTGCAAAGAAGAAATCGCTCTGAAATTATCATTATCCGTCGTCCTTCGCTCTAAACGAGGAAGGAGCGCGAACGTAATCGCGCATAAATTTCGAGAGGGAATTACCTGGTCGCGTCATCGACGTTCATCGAATCATCTTCCACCAATCATCAACGCCACTTCTAGACAGAAATCCTGCCTTTTTTCTTTTTCTTTTTCATGAAAAAATCGTACTTAATAATTTAAATGCACCGATCAAAGTGCCCCTTCACTTCTTCTTCTTCTTCTTCGTCTATCATTGATGATAAATGACCTTAAAGGTTTCGCTTGCAATTTCTTGCGTGTTTCCATCGTTTCAAGATCACTGTTGATGAGCCTAAGGGTGACGGAAGTCAATCGAAGAAGCGTAATTGCTCTCCTCGTTAATCAGCCGTCGAGAGGATCGAGGCTTCGACTTTAGCGAATCGATCGTTGGAAGAGCATTAATTGCGCGGAGATCGGCTCGATTCGACGCACCGTCGCGTCGATTCAGGGACGCGTCATTGCGATCGAGGATCGTTAAGTATGAGTTTAATGGAACGTAATTAGATCACTATGATCTTGATGTCGCACGCTGAACACAAAGTTTGATAAATAGGAACGTAATCAAACTTGTTGGATTTTTCTCTCGAAAGAACAGGGAGGAGTGTCCACGTCGATCGTTATATATATATATATATATATATCGAAAATACGTCAAACTGTTCAACGATCGAGCTACTATCTCGGTCTTGGCATCGAATCGGGGAATCAGGTCAAACCCGAGGACCTTGTCTTCGGTTGAAAATCATCAGCATTCCACGGTTTATTGCGACGATTGCGCCAGCGAGTATCGCGAGAAACGCGATTCTTACGCAAATCGCTACGCGACTTCGACAAATATCGCGATGTATATACCAGTACGGCCTAACGTTAATGGGCGAAAAGACGCGATCGATCAAACGATTTTACACGCGTTAATAGATATATTCAACGGTTTTTACGTTATATTCACTCATCGTGAAATGGCATTTTTTTTAATGTATACTCTACTTAACTAATGACGAGTTATGTAAAGAAAAAAAAAATCGTTTTTTGCTATCAAGATCTTGCGATAAAATTAATTCGTAAGATATGGATCTTGCGTTTTTCTTTTTCTATAAAAGTTGAGATTTGAGTAAAATTTAATTCGCAGACGAGATATCTCGGCCTTGGTAACGAAGGGGTTAAAATAATATAAAATTAATATAAATATAAATAATAATATAATAAATTATATAAATAATAAATAATATAAATAAAATAAAATTTAAGCAAAACAAGAAATGTAATTCGTAAGTTTGACACAGTTTGAGGATATTTTAAAAGAGAAACAGTATTTAATTTAATTAATAAAATTGTAAGTATTTTTTACGTAATTTTAATGTTCATTTTATTATATTTTCGTTGAGTACACACATTGTTGCTTAAGTGTAATTAAGCGTAATTTTTCACAAATAAAATAAAATGGTTGAGCTGGTATAGCGTTTTAATGTTGAGGTTGCTCGTATGCGAGATTTAACGCCATTTCATTACTGGAACATGCATTAACATTTTAGCATCACGATCTCACGGCCGATGTTTCGTGTAATACAATCGATTCACTATCACGCGATATGTAGATTTATTATCGATTTTTTATTACGATGATAGATTATTTTCCTTTTGAAAGGATGTCTTATGGAAATTAGATATTTATTGTTTTACGAAGTTTCTTTGGATTTTTCTCTTTGTTAAAATTAAGATATAATAGCTAAATATATCTGTTTCTTTAAAAAATTATTGCTATTCACATTCGATTTAATGATACAACAAAATCCAAAATTCCATTAATTCATAATTTTCCTTTAAAGGATTACTTTTTGATAATACTTAAAAATGAATTATTTCTACTGTGGAAACGAATATAGTCAGGATGTCGAGATAGAGTTGTAACCATCGTTACAATGAACTTGTTACAATGTTATTTTAACTATTCGTTTATCATATTGTGTTCGCACAATTGCAGGTGGGGGATTAATATCAATATGAAAAGCTTTCTCGAAAGCTGGAAGATTGATGAGTACCGGTATGTAAATTTCTGCAACAAACAATGAAACCCTGACCTTGATATAAAAGAGAAACTCGTCCCACTGAATAATAATAATCTTAATTTTTTTTAAATCAAATTGAACGAGGTCAAAATCAACGTCGAAAGCAATCTCAAATATTTAACTTCACGAAAGAATTCTTTCTTCCTAATTTAAATTGAAATTTAAACAAGATTCGTTTCACCGAAAAGAAATATATTTACTATTTTTCCTTTTGAAAAATTCCAAAAATAGCTTCTCACGACTAATTTATCTTGCCTTATTTATCCAAAAACGACGACAAATGAAACGATACGAGAGAATTCTTCCGACACATTCTAAAAAAAGGCAAGCAGGTCGTAACAAAGCGCGACCATGGTCACGGTCACGAATCCCTTATGTCCCACAAAGGGACACGAAGTTTCATCATTGCCACTACTCTGACGTATTACGAGCAACCCGTCACGAGAGCTTTCCAATTTCGATGTTTCACAGAGGACACATCACGATTAGCTCTTTGTCACGGATGCTATAGATGCTCCGCCATAATCGAAGGTCGCGTCGTTTGGGCGACGCGCCTCCAAGACGAGGCGGTCTCTGCGATCACCAGGATCCGTCTTCTCGAAGGACGGCATACTGGTATCATCGACCAACAGAGCAGCCCGCCAGAATTCCCCGAAACGGCTCCTCGACCGTTCGTTTCCACCCTTCTTCTCGTTTCCATCGAAGGCCGACGAAGGCAGTCGCAGCGTATCGGGCACCATCTCCGTCACGATTCCCCGAAACGGCGTCTCAACCGTTCATTTCAACCCGAACGCGATGGGGAGGCAGAGCCGTAAAACATATTCAACGAGAGAAACTCGTCCGGCCAGGCATCTGGCGGCGCGTGCAACGCGGGCAATTTCGCGTCTACACGCTTTGGAGAAGCGGTTATGTTAGGTCGGGGAGCTTCCACGGGCGGTACCACTGCCCCTCCCCTCCTCCACTCCCCCTCGTCGGCTACGCTCCTTTCACTTTTCGTCGTTGTGCTCGTGCTTTTCGTGGGTCGAGCGGTTCGCCTTCGGCCTCAAACCTGTCCGAACTGGTACCGATCGAACGTGCACCGAGTCTTTCGTCCCGTGGTACCGGATTTGCATCCACTAGTTTTGTCGGCGATCGATCTCGCCGACGACGAGCCTCCGAATCGATGTATTGTGGGGAGGGGACGATTTTCGATAGAAGATCGATGCGTTGAATTTGACGGATATTTCTTTGTTCCGTAACTCTTTAAGAATTTGGAATTTTGAAGAAAAAATTTTCTTTTTACCCCATCTTAAGTAGAGTGGAAGGAAATGATTTACTTTAAAGGGATGATTTTTATTTTTTTTTTTTTTTCGTTCTTAAAATGAAAAATATTTTAATATATAATATTTTAATATATATATAATTCATGAAGAGATTCTTGTGAGTGACACGTAGCTTTTTGAGAATTTTTGCAAAGAATGATAAAAGAGGAATGAATCATCAATGTCGTGATTGTGTGTCTTTACTTTGAATCATGTGTTATTAGAAAAAAAGTTATTAATAAGATGCTAGTGTATTTCATTGGTAAAGAATAAAGATAAGTATCAAATATTATTACTTGATAGAAATCAAAAAATTCTATTGATTCATTGATAGATGAATTTAAGTTTAAAAAGCATTACTCAAAGACTTATCTAGATTATTAGATGATTTGAGTGAGGTACAGGAAGCAAGTCCAACATTTCCAAACATTAAGAACTATCACAAACGCATCATGATTCCTAATCTATTGTAGTCTCAAGATATTTACAATAAAAGAAAAAATCTTAAAGTTCAGCAATAGATCACGTGTAACAATAATTCCACACCAATTACTCAAATGTTAGATAGTTCAGAATACTCTTTTCAGACACTATTTCTTAGAACTACATAATAAATTCGGCTAAGCAGAACACTTATTCCTATACAATCAATTATAGGCAATTTAAAAATTATCCATTGAATCATGTTATTTAAAATTCTCAGAGATTGTAATACGTAGTTATATTATATTAAAAAAAAAAAAAAAAAAGAATTGCATTTACAATATACAATAACGAATTATCTTAATAACAAATTTCAATGCAATTCTTCTTTATCAATGAATAACTTTAGCATCTAATAGTTGAACTAAAAAAAAAAAAAAAAAAAAAAAAAAAAAAAACGACACACCATTAGATTATAATTATCTTTGCATCAATATATACGACTCCTTACATCATTTATTATTATACAGTAAAAATCGATGTTCTAAAGTTGTTCATTTAATTACATCTACAAGATGATAATTAATTCTGACTCATTCGTTTCTTCGATGATTTTTTATTTTGTTTTCTTTTTTTTTTTTCTCGAAATTCAGAATCAAGGAGAGTATAAGAAAAGAAGGGGAAAAAAAAAAAAAGATGAGAAGAGAAAAACGCTTATAATCAAGGCCGCTCAAAGAAACGCCTATGAATTCTACACGCCTTATTGTATCTACGTAATTATGCCGGATGTTGAGCAATCGAGAAACTCGATCTCTGCCAAGTTTTTCGGAAACCGGTGCACTTTTTTCAAAAGTCGTGTCATGCAGAATCGCGAAACACTCAAGGCTTTTTTTTTTTTTTTTTTTT